TAATTTATATGTAAATATAATTTCTATAATGTGTTTAATACCAAAAAAATCAACATAAGCAAAAATAAATCAGGTTCTGGCTAAAGTATAAAATGTTTAAAAACAACAATAAATATACAGAATAGGGATTGGAGTCAATGTTTCATCAACCAACATAATCCCCTCTGATACTTCTAAGTGATCAAAATGAACAAACCCCCTCTAACCCAAGGGAAAGAAATTCATGGAGGTCCGGGAGCCATAGGCCTCTCGCCTGACTGCCTGAGCTACATGGATTACGATTTCTTCACATTCTTCGTCTAAGTCATTTGTATTGGCCTTTCCATAGTTCAGAGAAGTTAAACCTGCTATCCTTCCCAACCCTCCTAAAACAAGCAATCTTTAACATGGTATTGTGAAATTTTAGGTTTCCTCTGAAAACTAAAAAAAACAAAACAAACAAAAAAAACACACACACACACACAAAAAACAGCTCTAGTTCTCCTGTTTGGAACTCTTCAATGGCCAAATATTAGGTCTAATAATAATGTCGTTTTCTAATACTTTTTTAAATCGAATTTATTTAAACAATACAACAAAATTTAATCAACAATATAGTTGCTGTTGTTTTCTAGTACTTGTGCCCAACGCTCAGGAAGCGTTTTAATCCCTCTGTTGTAAAATTCTTGTGATTTTGATGCAAAAAATTCGGTCAATGCATTTTTGAGGCATTCTTCATTATTAAATTTTTTTCTAAGAAGAAAGTTTTGCAAAGAACGAAACAAATGGTAATCGGAAGGGGCAATATCAGGAGAATATGCAGGTTGAGGGAGAACTTCCCATTCCAAATGGCGCAGTTTTTCAGCAGTGATTCTTGCAGTATGCGGTCGTGCGTTATCGTGGTGAAGAATTACGCCCTTCCGATTAATCAGCACAGGTTCTTTTTCTCTTAAAGCTTGGGCTAACCTTTCCAATTGGGCACTATACACTGCACTTGTAATGGTTTGGTTAGATGGTAAAAGTTCATAATGAAGAATTCCTTTAAAATTCCACCAAACACACAACATCACTTTTTTCGCATGCAAGTCAAGTTTTGGCGTGGGCTGCGGAGCCTCATTTTTGTCCAACCATTGAGGCCGCCTTTTCAAATTAACATACAGCACCCATATTTTTCATCTCCGGTAACAATTTGCTCTAAAAACGGCAAACGGTTTTGACGAGAGAGGAGCGAACTGCAAATTGTGAGTCTTTGATTACGGTTGTTGTTGGTCAACTCATGAGGAACCCATTTTCCAAACTTTTGGACTTTGCCAAGTGCACGCAATTGATTGGAAATTGTTTTTTTGTGAACAATTTAAAGTTGTCGCAAGCTCTTGTTGGGTAATTTGAGGATTTTGCACCAAAAGAGCTTGATCAAAATTGGACACACGGCCTCGACCACTCTTGTCATCTAACAAAAAATTTCCCTCGCGAAATTTCTCAAACCAACGCTGGCATTTCCTGGCGCTAACTGCATCTTGACCAAGAGCACTACAGATGTTTTTTGCAGCCTCACTTGCTTTTCTTCCTAATTGGAACTCGTAAAGCATGCAGTGCCGAATATGCTCTTCATCCGCCATCTTCTTAGCCCTAGTTTTTGCAACAAAAACCAAACCAAACACAAACTTTTTCAAGCAAAACTTGTTAATTGCACTTCACACGTTCTGTAGATACCACGTGTTTGAAGGTTATGTCAATACAAGTCAACACCAAGCAAGATTTTAAACGAATGTTTAAAAACGACATTAATTATTACTAGACCCGATACTACCCGGGAATTTCAAAGCTCGTCCCTGAGTTATGAAGAAGAGATCTGTTGGGATCAAAACCCCAAAGAATCCAGTGAGCCCTTCCTGAAGGCACAAACCATAGCTTATTCCTCGTGGCGTGGTGGAAAGGTCTATGGGCTGCAGGGGAACACACACATCTGGGTTAAAATAGCTACTTATTAGCTACGTGACTCAGCCATGTCACTTCACCTCACCTGCAGAGAGGAGACCAGAGCAAGCATCCTGTGTTGGAGGAGGAAAGAGAATGCCGTGCCCGCTGCCCAGGACTAGCTGGGTCCCAGCACTGGCCCCCATGGGTATCTGATTACAATCTAGGGAACCCACGTTCTGAGTGTATTCACTTTCTACCCTCAATGCTGTACTAAACCGAAGGAATATACTTTTCTTGGATGAGCCATAGCTTTGTAGAGGTTCCATCTTCACCCTGAAAAATCTATCTTCTCTGCATCATACTGGGAGTCAGAAAAGGGATATAAATCAGAATGAGTGAGAATCCCCCTACAAAGTTATTTTCTTTAAATCAGTCATGATGCAAGTAGGTTTCTTATCATTTATTTCTCCTATTAGAACTATTGAGGGTGGTGGTGGAGGGGGAGTCCACATTAGTTGGGGCTCCTCTAGGCTCAGAATGGTTATTCTCACTCTATTGTGGGAAAATAAGAGTAAGGATACAGTTGACTATATAATATTTTTATAAGCAGCACTTGTCTGAACACCTAGAATACTACCGTTTCAGAGAGGAAAATCTGGCTGAGTCTTACAAAGTAAAAAACACAAGGCACAAACTTTTTATTCCTAAAAACATTGTTGAATGGTATCTTTGGGTGAGGGTGTATTTTGGGAAGAGGGCAAGTGACTGGGTTGCCAAATGAATCCCTCCAGTGAATTCTTGAGTTCACTGGAGCCATATGCCTCCTCCAGCATTAGCCACAGCACCATCTACTGCTGCACGGTGCCTACAGCAGCTTTGTGTCTGCACCATGCCTTTGCTTAACTAACTAAACTGTTCAGGGATGAAAAGGATGTCACTTCACAATAAAATGGGTTGTGGGGGTGTGAGAGGGGGATTGTCTCAAAATGAAAGTACACTTCTGACAATCTATTAAAATATCTAGGCAGCAAACTCATGGCCAGTGAATACGGTAGTTCTATTTTTTCTTAGGTTGTTAGCTATCAATCCTGCTCTGAAGATTTTTAAAGCATGAATAAGAATGACATGCTCTGGCTGATGCATATGTCCTTTATTACCCGTTAGCACAGTGGGAGTTACCTGGCTGCTGGGCCAACACGGTTCTTTCAACTAAGAGCAGCAAGTATTATTCAAAACTCAGAGAACCAGAGGGTTTGGTTCCTAAGGCTAGGCTTCTCCTTAGCCAGTCAGCCTCCTAAGGAAAAGTAGGTCTCCTTATAGTGAAAAGTGTCTGCAGACTGGGTTCAGGGCTGTGTTCTGGCCCTTACTGGTCCCTAGGGAAGACTTACTAAGCCGGCTCTTACCATGCATAAGAATACACAGAACAACTTGTCAGTCCTAAGAAAAACAATCCAACCTCAGTTCCGATCTAAAATTAACCCACAAGCTTAAAAGAGACTATGACTTAAAAGGTCTGGGATTTAAGAAATAAAATAAAATTAAACACCAAAACATCCATTTTTGCAAACAGAAAAACACACGTAGGTTGATAATAAAAATTTTAAATAAAATTAGCTCACACTTACCTAGCACTGTATTCCGGGGACTGTCCTAAGCCCTTTATAGATGACCAGGTTGACAAAGCATGGCCACTTCCCTGCTCAAACTGTGACTTTACTGCTGTATGATCTATAGTAATACCGTAGGTTAAATCCCATGGGGTGATCAACGGGAGGTTTACTATCGACGAGGAATTCTGGCTTACCATTAACTCACCCTTATGTTAAATAACCATGCTTAAGATCAGGGGTTGTGGGGTCACACAGTAAGTACAAGTGAATGCAGGTATTTCCCATAGAATGACTCTAAGTATAAATATTTTCAAAGCCAAGAAGGGGAAATGAAAATGGAAGCCATACTACTTTATGTTGCAAAGGGGGAAAAAAAAAAATGCTTATTCTACTATCAGATTCCCCTTCTCAAAAATAGAGCTGTGTGTAGTGCTCACAACGCCAGCGGTGCAATGTTGTCACAGATGTGTGCCAGATTTTGCACAGGACGGGGCGGGGGGGGGGGGGGGGGGAACTCCCGCGTTTGCCTTATCTCAGGCAGGAAAGAAAGCCTGCTTATTTTTGGTGGCTGCAAATCTGAGCAGCAACTTGAAAGGGTTCAAGAGCTGGGCACCAGGTGTTTTCTTTCCACTTTCCAGAATGCAGAGTAATGTAAGCAACGCGGCAAAGTTCTCTCCGCCTCCCGCTCAGGACTGAGCAGCTCCTGTTCTCATGACAATCCGCGGGCACCGGGCTGGGCGGCAGGCGGCAGGGCTTCCCCCGGCCTGTGCGCGCGCTTTGTTGCCAAGTTATGAGCTCCGCAGGGTGAAGGGGGCACGCGCTGAGCCAAGAATAATGAATTTCTATTTCAAATCCGTATGCTTTCAAAGAAAGTAGAGACAATTGACACCAAGGCTGGAGATGATTGGGAGGGGGGAGAGGGGGACACAAACACAAACTTTCAGAGCCTCTGAATTTGCATGCTTGCAAGAACCCCCAGCTTTGCATGCTTGCAAGAACCCCCGGCCAGCGATTAGGAGATACTGACACCCCCCCACCAAAGGGTTATCGCCTGAGGTTAGAGACCTTCCCAGGAGACATGGCCCCGCAGAGATCCATCCCTCGCCGACCCCACTCCTCTTGCAGCAATCAGCGGGCGCGCTTTTGGGGAGCCCACCTCTCCGCCCCGCAAGCCCGGCCCCCCATCCCCGGCGCGGCCAGCGGGTCCCGGCGTGGTGGTTCCCGGGGCCCCTGCTCGGCCTCCTCCCCACGGAGCCCGGGACGCGCAGGGAGAGCGGCGGCACCGCGCCTCTCTCGGCCCAGAAAGCCGGCCGGGGTCCCTCCAGGCCAGCACAGCCCCAAGGCCGGCGGGGACCGAGCCCCAGGCCGGGCGGGTGGGTGGCAGGGGAGGACCCGGCTCCTCTCCAGCAGCTCGCAGCTTCGGCATTGTCCGCGATCGGGGCGCGGCGCGGGCCCCCTCCCGCGACCAGGCGGCAGCCGGCACAGCCTTACCTCGGCGGCCGCGCTCCCCGGTCCCGGGCGGTGCAGCCCGAGCCGGGAGCCAGGTTCCCAGGGCTGGCAGGGAGGGAGAGTCCGGGGCCCGCGAGGGCTGGGATCCCGGCCGCCGCCGGCGCTGCTGGAGGACCGATCGCGGGCTGCAAGGGCCGCCCAGTCCTCCTCGCAGCCGCCTCCGCGGGGGCCACTGGAGGAGGGTGGACCCGGCCGGCCGAGCGGGCCCAGGACGCGCGGCCGCGGAGGGCCCCGGCTAGCAGCGGCCGCGATGATGGCTCGGTCTGCACCGAGTGGGAGGACTCAGGCCGGCTTCTGCCAGGAGGCGAGGGAGGGAACTTAAACGAGTTGCTGTCGCCCAAAGCGCGTGTCCCCGGGCAGAGGGCACGCCCCCCTGGAGCGCCCCGCCCACCTCCACCCCGCCCAGCCCCCTCCCACTTTCCACTCCCCACGCCTCCTCCAGGCTTCTGACCCTGCGCCTTTCCCCATATACATCCCCTCCTCTCACTCTCCTCCCCAAACCACCCCCCTTCCACTTCCAAACCCCTACCCCGCCCCACTCCCACCCTCTGAAGAATCCCCTGGATCTCAGCTGCCAAGAAGCCCCAGATCAAACCATGTAGCACCTAGACTGAGAGCATGTTCTGTGGCTGAGATTACCACACCAGGCAGCCATCCCATTCAGATCTTTGGTGCCTGACAGCGTTTTTCTGCTGACTAACTTCTCATATACTCCAATGGGCCTTCTCAGTGTTTGTAGGCCTAATTTCTGAAGGCATTTTTTAACAAGCTAGTAAAGAATATTGGGGACAAATCTCAAACACCATGGATGTACAACTGCCAGCCTAGAGTATGGGCCAGCTGATGTTTCAAAATTAAATGAAAGTTTGGAGTGCATCATTATTCATCTCCTAATGTTATGGCTTGGGAATGCTTTTTCTTTAGATGTGCTTAATCATGGGGTTAGTTTTTTAGGGGGATTTGTTATTTTAGGAAGACAAAACACATTCTGTGATAGTTTTTTGCTACCTAAAAGATGAACTCCCGTATTTATCAGGATGACTGAATGAGAGGCACTCACAACATAATGATTCCTCTAACATGTTTACCAAAGATTTCTTGTATACCTTTCGTACATTTGAGATGCAATTGCATTCATCCCATTCTCTCAGCAAGTTCATCCATATTCAAATTGTCTGACTGTTGTTTCATCCTGGATCAGAAATTATCAAAGAAATAAAAATCAGCCTTTCCTAATACATGTTTGGCTACTTACAAGACAATCATTTTAAGAAAGTGACAAGATACTGGTTTTGAAAGGAACCTTTCTCTGGCACACTAACGCACTCCACGTGATCACAAGTTATGCTGTGGTCTCCCTTCACCCCAAAAGTCCTGTAACAGTAGTACGAAGTTATTTTCTATCATCCCCATCGCTTCTTACTCCCATAGCACCTTCTCTTACTCCGAAGTAAGATAAACCTCCTTGGCCACTGCAGGGGCATGTGGGTCAGAACTGCCAATAGCAGTGCCTCTCATGTCCCGAGCACAATGGGAGTGAGGGGAGACCTGACCAGGAAAAATGTACTTTTTCCAAACTGATAAGGCAGCTTCTGAGGCCATGCCACGTCAGCCTGCAGCAGCTGGAGCAGCCTATGAGGCGAGAAAGGCAACCCAGCACTAGAGGCACGGAGAGTCCTGACAACACGAATGAGCCCCTCCAGGCAGCCATCTCTGAAACCAATCAAACCCTCGGACTTCTGAGGAATGTACCAGTGAATTGTCTTTCTAGCTTATGCTATTTTGAGTTAGGGTTTCTTTCCAAAATGCTCCCTTGTAAAACCAGAAGAGGGTCCCACAGGAGCCATGCTCTGGAAATGAGAAATGACTTCTGGCTTATTTTATCATTAAATTACTTCTTCATGAAAAAGTATGTGCAAAGAAGGTCACTTAGTAGAAAGCCCTAAGTTTTAATAGGATTACAGTTCTCGTTTAGGGTTTTACTATTAGGCAATGTAGAGTTAACATTTTCACGTTGCCTTTGCCAAAACCCCAAATTAATAAAAGATGTGGTTAGAGAACCAGAGAGAGAACAACAAAATGCCTAAACCAGAACATCCTGGTGATTTTTACTTTTTAATCTTATCAATTACCCCAGTCCCCAATATTTGGTGATACAAAGAGGGCATTTCCTCTTTGAACTAAAAATTGTATGTCCAGACTTACAGGAATTGTTGAAATTGGTTTATTATGCTGGAATTTCATTTTGTTGAGTGTTGTTCAGAAGTAGGCCATTGGCCTATGCTTGAAATTATTTTATTTCACAGAGATTTTTGTCTCTAAAGATATCCTATATAATAAAAGGCTAATATGCAAATTGACTAAACAGCAGGACAACTCGTCATAATGACATGCACTGACCACCAGGGGGCAGAAGCTCAATGCAGGAGCTGTTCCCTAGTGATCAGTGCACTCCCACAGGGTAAGTGCTGCTCAGCCAGAAGCCAAGCTCATAGCTGGCGAGCACAGTGGTGGTGGCAGGAGCCTCTCCCCTCTCCACAGCAGCATTAAGGACGTCTGACTGGCCTAAACCATCTGTTGGACATTCCCCAGGGGCTTCTGGACTATGAGAAAGCGCAGGCCAGGCTGAGGGATGCCCCCTCCCAGAGCTTACAAATTTTGTACACCACGCCTCTAATGTAACCATGTTTGATTAGTTACCTAACAAGCATTCATACACTACTCAGTATGTTGCTTAACTGTGCTCACAGGTCACTGTGAACGGTGGGAGTGTTCGAGTCACAGGAGTGGGCCTGGCAGATGGGCATGAAGGCATTGCTCTGAGCCTTGGATTGCAGTTGTTGTGGTTTCTTATAGGAAAGTAGAATACCAGTTCAGTTTTCACTAGTTTTATTTCAGGCTAGAAATCTGTGCATCGGTAGGGTCCTTAGGCCTGGATGAAGGTCAGGGCCGATTAGGGCCTTCCTTCATTCTGTACCAGCCCCTGGTGGTCAGTACACATCATAGTGAGCGATTAATCCCCTAGACTCCCAGTCGAACTCCCAAGGAGACACTTTGCATGTTAGCCTTTTATATATAGAGATAGGTATGCACCTAGTTGTGTCAACAACTAGTGAAATTTTATGTATAAAAAAGCATATGAGTGCTGGCTGTCTGGCTTAATTGGTTGGAGGATCAAAAAGGTTTTGGATTCCATTCCTGGTCAGGGCATATGCCTAAATTGAGTTTGATGCCTATTCCGGGTATGTACAGGAGGCAACAGATTGATGTTTCTCATATCAAAGTTTCTCTCTCTCTCCCTTCCTCTCTCTCTGAAAATCAATAGAAACATATCTTCCATGAGGATTGTTTTTAAAGGCCAAGAGCTGACAGCTGATTGATGTTTTGCTCTCACACTGATGATTTTCTCCCATCCTCTAAAATAGGGGTGTCGAACTCAATCAGAGAAGGGACCAAAATCTAAAATCCAGCCTAAATCGCGGGCCGAATGGTTTACTGAACAGTCATAAACTGTCATTGTGATGGAAACGCAGTGGAGTGCAGTGATGACAGCGCGGTGCGGGCCACATTGCAAGGCCTGGCGGGACGGATTTGGCCCGCGGGCCTTGTGTTTGACACATGTGCTCTAAAACATTCAATAAAAATATCTTTAAAAAAAGACCATGAGCTGAATAATAATTTATCATAAACATTTTGAGCCTCACAAAGAATATTACAAGGAAGTGAACCATCTCCAGAAACATGACAGGGTAGTCTAGGAGGACAAGAAAAGAAAAATTAGTTCTGGAATCTAAGCCCAGCTCTGAGTGCCACTTGTTCCAATGACTACCTATGATTCCCCAGGGAAAATGCTAGTCACATATCCAGACTTCCCCAACATCCATGTGCTGGATCCCTGTGATATCTGTGTCATTCCCTTCCCCAAGCATGGTACATCAGCAGTCTTTCGGTTTACCCGGGCTCGGACAACTCCACCTATCTGGAACTCACCCGGGGAACATGGCATTCACCGGTGGTTCTCAAGCCATGAAATGGAATTGCCTGGAGTGCTCCTAACGCCACGTCTCCAGGGGGAGGGGAGAAGGGACAGACTTGTATTTTTAAAAACATACATTTTATTGATTTTTTTTTTACAGAGAGAAAGGGAGAGGGATAGAGAGTTGGAAACATCAATGAGATAGAAACATCGATCAGCTGCCTCCTGCACACCTCCTGCTGGGGATGTATCCGTAACCAAGGTACCTGCCCTTGACCGGAATCAAACCTGGGACCTTTCAGTCCGCAGGCCAACACTCTACCCAATGAGCCAAACCGGTTAGGGCAGACTTGTATTTTTTTTTAAAAAGTCCCACCCGGATATTTGATCATCAACCAGGGTTAAGGTGAATAAAGTTTGTACTTTTAATTCCACAGGGAAAGGCCTGAGAAACCCTCCAAACAGACTCCATCGAACTTAGAAGTGCATGTGAAATTAAAGTTAGTGATTGAATAAGCACCATCTATCATTTCTCTGAACAGCCTTCTCTTCTTTCCAGGTTAGAGAAAAAGCATTGCGGAGTGCTCCTTAAGGGGTGGGGGAGGATTTGCCGGAAACAATTACACTGAGAAAGACAGCTCACAGCAAGGCCACGATAAGAGAATCACTAACAAGAAAAACATTGTAAGTTACTAGGGGATGCCACCCAGAAGCTACTGCAGTGGAGGCTCCAGCCCCGCAAGGGTTATCTCTTCTTGCATATTTCATAATTTATTACATATTCATGGAGAGGATCAGAGGAATCAGAACAATTGAATTATGTACATGAATACTGACCTACATCATATAATATTAAGTAATAGCTATCATTTACTGGTCAGTGTTAGGCAATTTATATGCCCAATTTTTAGTCATCGCAATGACCCCTAAACATAAATATTATGACCCTCATTTTATGAACAAGAAATTCAGGGCCAGGAAGGTGAGTGACAATCTAAGGTCATAGACTTAGTAATTAGAGGATTAAAGGCTGATCCATAGGACCCCAAAGGCTATATATCTTTTATGAGAAACCAAACTTGCCTGTGAGTCATAGGAATCGTCTATCCAATAAGATAGTCCCTAGCCACATGCGCCTAATACCTGTTAGATGCACAGATAGGAAACCACTTCCACCACAGCAGGAAGTCCTATTAGATGACACACATGCCTCACAATGTTGTCTGTATTGTCAAGGAAGGCAGTGTCCTCTGTGACTAAAGTTTTCAAATAAATTACTCCAACTCCTTTATGTTAACTATTTTGATGTAATTCTTTCTAAAGCATGTAATACATTTATGTACCTGTGTCTTAGTTTGAGCAATGATAATAAAAAT